CCTGCTGGAGGAGGAATGGGTTGGTCACGTGGCAGTTAATTAAAGGTGTGGAAGGGAACTAACAAGCTTCAAGAATCTGTCCCCTCGGGTGAGTGGGGAAAACAGTTTTGTTACATGGGATCAGTGGATCCACAGCTGCTGCAGGTCCCCGTGCAAGGGATTCGTGAGCGTGTTAGAAAGCAACACCCTCCCAGAAGGCACACGATCTGGGAGCTGACTGACTATCCAGGCACTAGTTCTGAGTGTTCATATCCAGAGTTCTCTCGATCTCCACTCTTCGTGGCAGTGAAGACGCAGACGAGCCAATCCAGCAAAAAAACACCGGCTTCGATAAACCGATGTTCTACCCTCCTGCACCGCTCCCCCTCCGGCGTCCCACCCGCGTCCCAGTCCCAGATGTTCCGCGCTCCAAATTCCGGATCCCCAGGAAGCAAGGCCATCACAGGTACCAATTACCTTTCTACCATCAATTTTCTTAACAGCTTAGTGTCCAATCCTGCCCTGGGTTGGCTTGACCCTTGCTGGACTCAGTCTGTTCCAGCCATGGCTGTCCCAGAAAAGCTACTCCCAGAAGCAGTAGAGGGAATTAGATCCTTTGGCATGTTATGAGTACAATTTTAGATCAGCAGTAGGTGTCTTTATAGCTTCTTCCCAGTGTCAAGTTGGGGTTTTTTTAAGTGTCATGCTAACCATGGGGTACAAAAGACCCTGTTTCAAATCCTGGTGTCACAAACTAAGAAGACCTTCCTGACAAGGATTGTCATAGTGGCTTGTCAGGTATGGGGATTTTTGTTTGTTTGTTTTCAGCTTTTGTTTGGCATTTAGTGTTTGTTTCCCTCAAGGCACTATCCTCAGGGCTAAGCCTGTGCCTGAGGAAGTGAAATTAAGTGCAAGTGTTTTCACAGTGCTCCAACTCCCCACAGCAACCTCTAAAATTAATGGTACAGAACCATTACAGAGGTATTAGAAGGCTCACGTTAAGGTTGATCCTCCCATAGTTCCCATTTCCTCCTTCCAAACTACATCAAACCTTAAAAGAAAAAAAGAATTAAAAAAAAAGAAAGCAAAGAGCACTGAAAATAACTATTAATAAACAGGATATGAGACATGGTGTTCACATGTCCAGGCTGCAGGGATGCACTCTCTGAAATCTGTGGGATGGATAGACACATGTTCCACCTCAGCACAGCAGAAGAGCTGGTTAATCAGCTGGTGTTTAAACGCCCCTGAAGTGTCTGACATGGACAGATGCAGAGTAGCAGAGGTGGCTGTGGTAGGGAGAGGCCACAGGATGCTGAACAGAGATGCTTTTTGTTAAATAACACACACATCCACAGCTACCAGATGTTGCAGCGAGTGGCCTGTCTTACAGCGTGTGAGTCCTGAGATTCCAGGTTGTTATTGTACCTGTTAAACGTTTAGATTATTTTATTACTAATTTGAGGTCCATCCAGTTCAACCAAGTTAGAACTGGATGGACCTCAAATTAGTAATAAAATTCAAGTTAGAAGTTAAAGCTGCAAAACCCTTTTTATTATTTACTTAAACTTGCAACAACTTCTTCCAGTTTCATGTCTCTCACAAAAAAAAACTGGGAGCCTTCCTGGATCAGATACCAGATTCACCTGAGCAGTAACTGGGGGATGTTTTTTTTGTAAAGCCACTTTTTTTCCCCCCACTTCCCTAATCAAAAAGTTTGTCAGTACATTGGGTAAAAACTTTGAGCTGTTCTCTTCCTGTATTGAGGAGGGAATTGCATGATGCTTGAGTCTTGTGGATTGATCTTCAAGAAGCTCATATTAGTCTGGGGGTCCTACCTTATTTATCTGGTGGAGTCATTTCCATGGTGTCTTTCAAGTCAGTGTCTTGTACAAATGCAATCTGAGCAGCTTGTTGAATTTCTGGTACAAATGCATTGACCATAACACCTCTTAGGAAGACAGTCTCCAGAAGGGATGCCTTCTGAGTGCTGCCCTTAGAGATGTTCCACGTGGGCCTGGATAATACCAGAGACAGTGCAGTACCACTCCACTGACAGTGTTTGCACAGATGCTTCATAGAGTGGCACTTTCACTATACAGATAATTTCACTTTGCATGCAAAAGGTTCAGGTATGAGGAGAAAGAGAGAGAACACTTGTGTCAGCTGCTCTCTCCTGTGTGGGAAGGACACAGTAAGAACAACCATTTCTTTTCTTATTGACTTGGCAAATAAAAATAAAAAAATAATTTTTTTTTAAAAAAAGGATAGGGGATGAGGAAAAAAAACAAACTACCATGCAATTTTTTTTTCCAAATATTTTTGGAGACCTCCAACTCACTTCCACTTGTGACATAAGCCAGGATCTGAACATGAGTCTCTTGCAGGGGTAGCCAGGCCATTTTGGGGTGGTTTCTTTTTCCCACTGTGCCATCTGATTTTCTAGTTACTTAAGGCCTCTCATTCTGATTGTTTATCTGTCAAGGGGGGTGGACTCGATAATGTCTCCAGTTCCTTTTCAGCCCTGGTTTATGTGATTCTGGTTTAACAGATTTGATTACCAAGTTTTCCCATTCTCCTGCATTTTAGAAAGAGTCAGGGATGTAGTAGATTGAGAAACTGAGGAACCTTCACAGGATTTAGAAGGGTCCACTAAGGATTGTCTGGATGGAAATTCACGAGCTGGGACCTTCATGCAGTTCAGGTCTTTTTTAGCCACACCAGACCCAGAGCCCATGTGCCTGAGCCAAGCTTCAGCACAGGAGGCTGCGAGGCTGCAGGGAGCTGGGGCCTCTGTGAAGGTCATGACAGCAGTTCTCACCACTCCAGTGGTCTGCAGAAATACATAATGATGAAATACTGCAGAAATAATGATCTGACACCCGTTTTCAACAGTCCCTGTCATTCCTGAATGAAAGACTCCTGTCCCTCAGCTCCCTCCCTATATAATTTGGTGGTGCTGAGCCCAGAAGAACCTCGCTAAACAGAGTTCAGATGAACCCATTGGCTCCATGAATGAGTCCACATATGGGAAGAGTTTATACAGCGTAGACCATACACATTAGTTTGACCAGTTCATCTTTGCATTTTATTTCTTTCTGGTTTATCCTTTGAGTCACTACAGTAAATACATTTGCCCAGACATTGCAAACCTGGCTGCACTGAGCCAAGACCTCGCACTGTTTGTACTGTTGAACTTGTGGTAAAGGACACCAGCTTGAGAAGGATAGGAGGCACCTCAGCTGTGCTGTACACTGATGTTTCAGGGCACTGCAGCTATGGCCAGGGTCAGGAACCACCTCTGCACACTGAAGGAGTCCTCCCACTATGGTTACTGATAAATGCTTGGCCTTGGGGAGGGCTGTGGTAGCGAGGTCGCTGTTGGAATGCTCAGAGGGCCAGAAGATCTACTGTAGCTTTTCCAGACTTTATGGACAGGCTCTGAGACAGCCCTTCAGTCCTCCACTTGAATGTTTCAGGGAGGGTGTTGAGGAAGGAAATGCAGATCACTGGGAAGCAGAGGGAGAGCTGACCTAGGGCTTCTGTAGGTGACACTCTACATGTTGTGATGAGGACCCAAGTTCAATCTCCAGTCTTGTTCACCTGTGCCAGAGGCTTTAAAGGCAGCTTATTGCTTTAAGGAAGAGTAAGATAAGGGTTGGGTTTTTTTGCAGGGGAGGAAGCCATGACCCTTCTGGTTCAGTCAGGACTGGTGTTCATGGGCTCCCTAAGAGCCAATCCAGGCCACCTCAGCCAGAAAGCATTCAGGAAAAATACCTACCTGTTACCCCTTCAATGAATCTGGCCCATTTGCCTCCAAAACGAGGTATTTGACCTTTCTGCTGTATTCAGGGTATGCGGTTATGTGGCACAGGAGCATATTGTCTTGCCTCCTGTCTGTATGATTCTGTGTCCAGTATTGACCAGTCACCGTCCCTGCTTTGTTCTCCACCCAGCAGAAAGTGCTTT